ACTTCTGAACTATTACCAAAATTAGCTTAAAGGATAGCCCTTGTGTATATTTATAGGATGGTTCCATGCAAATCTATTTTATTGCCTAAACTAAGGATCACTGTGGACCCACTTGCCAAAAGGAGGTAATCATTAAACCACCCCAGGAACATGCCACTTCACTGGATTAAGGAAAGAAAAGAATATACAAATCGAGACGTGACATCAGCCTTGTTTTAGATGTTTTTTCCCCCCCAGGATGGTGAGTCTGCCTTTTCTTTTTGAATGCCGTGTCTTTGTGGGGACAGGCAAGAGAACCCAAGAGTGGCCTTGTGCAACCTGCCTGCAAGGGGCGGAGGGCCTGCTTTAATGGTGTGTGAACATGGGGTGACACACAGTTCCAGCGTGTTTGGAAGGATCCCTCCTGTGGCTCTGTGGCTGAGCGCCTCCTGAGCACCCCGCCCCCTCACCGGAATCCTGGCCACACGTTCATAGCCGACAGCTGAGGTCTCCCTGACACGCTAGTGTCACCGCCACTAGACTTCCGTGCCCACCGCACTTCTGGAACAGCCCTGTAATGGTATCTTCCCACAGGGCTCCCTGCTTTGTCTTATGTCCTGCAGTGCCTGGCAGTGACCTGGCCACCACACTGAAAGCCAAGAAAGGAGTGTGGGGAACATGCTGCCAGGGGATCAGGGCTGACATGAAAATTGTCGGAGTCAGGAAATTCCAGGACCCCTAAGTCATTCAGGAAGACGGTTGACATGAGCTGCCAAGAGAGGGGATCAGGTGGCCTCGGTGGAAGTAGGAATTGAGGTTGCTTGCCAGTCACTGGTCTGGCAGGGAGGTGTCTGCGTCCTCCACGGTGGAGGCAAAGTTTGGATAGTTCTGTGTGAATCTTCAGAACAGCCAGGTCGGGGTGAACCTTGACTCACTGCCTGTTCACATCGGTGCGTTCTTTTACAACAGGTATCCCTGACAAGATTGGAGAATTCATTGAGTGTACTCACCAGTTTGCTTTTAAAGTGATACCTAAAGCTGACCCTCCTTTAGGGGATTTCACAGTTTCAATGTGTCAGTCCAGCAAAGAAGCCCTTTATTCTGACTCCTTGGCCCATGTGATGGTTTAAATATTAATCTCCTGTGCTCGAGTGTACGGATGAGGTGGGGCTTAGGTGGTGAGGGGAGCGGGCAGTGTGTGTTGACTTGTGTGGTGTCTTCACAGGCTGTGCGTGTGGTTGGGGCCCCCGTGGTGCTCACGTGTCCCGGCTCGCTAAAGGCTGCGACGTCTGGCCTTGACCCCGATCTGTAGCTCTGCTGTGAGGACGACACACACACTTCCTGACAGATTAAGAGGCACATATTCATCTCCCCTGTTTTAGTTAACTAACACTAGCACAAATTGCCCATCTGTTAATTAGGGGAGCAGGGTTGTGACGCCGGCTTAGGAAGTAATGGCGGCCTTTCTTCTGGAAGGAGGACTGGGGCATTTTTACGGAGGATGCTTGGGTCCCGGGAGCCTGTGGCTGCTAATTATAGGAAAGGAATACGACTGAGGATGAACTTCCACACATTGTAACAGTTGGTTTAAATGGCTTTTAATTCTCTTCTGTGTTCTATTTGTGTGTTATATTTACTCAATGAAATGATCTTTGAGGGAAGGAAGCCTCTATGTGTTCCTTGGTGCCCAGCCTGTGCCTGACGTATAATTTTGTTAAAATTGAACTATGGAAAGGGTAGTAATGATGCCCTGAATGTGAGGAGAGGAATGATGAGAACAGGCAGTTCTGCTAAGCTTTTGGGATTCTGTTGTTGGAGGCGAGGGAGACTGTGGGGTGTTCTGTTGTGGTTCCAGGCTGGCTGGGAGCGTGCTGAGGCAGATACTTGGTGAATGTTGAGGAAAACCGGATATTCATATTCATCCCAAGCTCCTGAGAATAAAGCAGAAGGTACGGAATGAGATGATGGGCAAACTGGCCACAGCCAGTAAGAACAAGGCTATATCTGCTGGCGACTGGAGAGCCCCACCTCTGCCCCAGCTAAGGAGAAAACCACAGGGCTAGGTGGGGTGGTGAGGATGGAAAGCCGGGATGGGGTCCTCAGCCTCTTACCGCTTCCTGCCATCTCCATGTTGGGTGCCTCCAGTGAACGACGTGGGAGGGCCAGAAACTGTGTGCTGGAGCTGGCCTGGGTGGCTGGAGGGGGCTGATGGGTCAATTCTTGGGAAATTTTATGAGCTAGTTGTTGAATGTAGCCATTATTGAAAAGTAAATTATATAAACGTACAATTAAATAAGTTATGGTGAAAATACTATATACTGGGGGGCTTTTGTGTCTCTTTTTCCAACTCCACATTCAGCGACTTCACTTTGGTAGCTTGAAATGGGCCTTCGCAGGAGTACTTACACCACAGACACGTTCACATTCTGCCTCTCTCCATGCCCACAGCAACACTTCCTCTCTGACTTGGTTCTCTCTGTCTGGCCTGAGTGTGGACCCCAGCCTTGGAATGACTCAGGCCCCCTGGAGGAGAAGCAGAAACTCTTTATCCAAAAGCTTCTTTCTCTGGGCTCACACGTTTCCAGGGGCTGAGGCAAAAGGAACTGTTACGGCTTACAGGGCTTTCATTATCCCCATCTTCTGGTCTGTGGATTATAAGTGGGATGCAAAAGCAGCAAAAGTGTTAGTACTATCAACAAGACAGATCAAGTCAGTTTTCTTAGCTAATAACCTCAGCAGGGGGTCAAAGCAAGCCTGAGCTGGGCTGATTGCAGCTCTACACACAGTTTAGTGTACATGTGAACAGGTCCAGTTTCTAATGGAATTTTCCATCTAGGAGCAATCAAGTCTGATTTCAGTCCACAGGAGACCCTTGGCCCAGGAGATGCCTTCTGCAGGAAATCCTTCCTGTTGGCTGCTTCCGCAGGCTGGGGGAGGCAGCTCCGCTGCATGTTCCCCCCCCATTCTTGGGGTGCACCTCTCACACTACAGTACAGTGAGTTTGGCCAATTGGATTCTTGGGTTTAAGTGCTTTCTCAGATGAGATGATCCATCTGTAAAATGCCAGTCAAGAATGCTGAGCCTCACCAGCGTGCCTTTAGTAGCTAAGAGGAGCATTTTGTTATGAGAGAAATAAAACAAGTGAATCAAATGGGATTAACCCCTTCAAATGATTTAGCTAGGTATTTCTTACAAATAATAAAAAAAAACCCAAATTCCTTTCATTCTGTTGAGGATAACTAGACACAGGAGCTGTGGGGTTTCTACAAGAATTAGCAGCCTGTTACAGATGCCGATTCTAGACAAGTCGACAGTCTATATTTCTCTTGTTGGGGATAATAAGCAATGCTTTTCCATCAAAAGAGACTAATTCCTTGTTTGAAATCTCACTTATAGTGGGAGGATTATCGGGCATTTATCTAGATGTTTTAAAGTAGCTAAATATTTGCCTTCACTTTCCCCCAATCTCCTGTCATTTTGGAATAAGAGCCTTAACTCATCAGGTAGGTGACTACTAAGAACCACCCTTATGGCCCAAGAAATCAAGCATGAAGTTGGATTTTCTCATAATGTTAATCTTTAGTAAAATTATTTTCCTGTATTTTTAAGTGTATTGATCATTTTAAATGTCATGGAATGCTGGTTGCTGTAACAACCTCACAATCTTAACAATTTACCACAGCAAAGGCTCATGCCTTGTGCTCTTGTCACCAGCCAGGGCGGGTAGTGGACGCCGGGCAACAGAATGCTCTCTTCCATGCAGTGATTCAAGAACCAGAGCTCCTCTTATCCAGGGCTCTGCTGGTTTCTGGTTTCCAGACTTTGGAGTCCTCGTTTGGCTCTTCTGCATCCAGCCTCTGGCTTCTCTGCCTCAGGCTGCATGCAGGAGAAGAAGGGTGGATGGGTGTGCAGAGGTGTTAAGGCCAGGCCTGCTGGGAGCCTTTTTTACTTTCACTAATATTCCATTGGTCAGCCCTCAGTTACATGGCCATTAGCCTCACTGTAAGGCTGGGATATATGCTCTTAGGGCCCAGGAGGAAAAGGGAATGGGGTTGGCAAACATGTGGCATGGCCTTGGCCACACCAGAACACTAAGATGACACATACTGCATTTTGCAAACATGATATTTTCAAGTCCTTTGTAGTTTTGTGGCCATAGAGAGGATGCAGAGTGGCGTAGTGATCGAGAGCATGACCTCGATTCAAACTACCAGCGTCCAAATCCCAGCTCTGCCATTTCCCAGAAGTGACACTGGGCAAGTAACTTAGTCTTTCCCCGTGCCTTCGTTTCCTCTTTGTAAAATGGGGAGAGCAATAGAAGTTAATAGGGTTTGTGTGAGAATTAAATGATGTAACGCATGTAAAATGCTTAGAATTATGCATGGGGCATAATTAACAACATGTAAGTGTTAAATAATTTTTTAAAAAGTACGACTAGTAACAAAGAGACCTAATGTCTCCTTTGGTATGTTGTAATTTGAATATGGTGTCATTCAGATGCATAATGTTTCTTTTAGTTCAACTGTAAAAATGTTTATTGAGCAACTACTAATTGTCACGTGCCGGGTTTGACCATAGAATCTGAAGGAGTAGGCTTCTCACTGAATCAAAGAAAAGGGCATGGTTCTGCCCACCAGATTTGCCTTTTCAACTCGGTGACTCTTAATCCATGGTCACATCGGCGTTGTGATTTTGGTTTCCATTCCCCAAATCCTCCGTGGCGTATTCCTGGGGCCCTCAGAGTGGAAAGTGGCCCTGGCACCAAAGGGCTCCTTCTCCTCCCCTGTCCGTCTCCTGGGCCCTGTCAGTGCCACTCCCTTCATAGGTGTCATTGCTGGCTGCTTACTATGTCGTGTGCTCCCAATTTATTTGTACGAACCCGCTACCTCTTCCAGTTACGATTTGAATTTCAGAATTGTGCTTGATTTAAAAAAAACACCTGAGGGCAACATGAAGTGATTTCTGCATCCAAAGTCCGCATCCCAGGAGCAGGCTGGGCTTAAAGGTTCTTTCTCTTGCAGCTCGATGACTGCACGCTGCAGCTCTCCCACAATGGCGCCTACCTGGACTTGGAGGCCACCCTGGCGGAGCAACGGGACGAGCTGGAAGGCTTCCAGGATGATGCTGGGTAAGAGCAACAGTTGCCCCTGCTGACTAGTCCCAACCTTCCAAGATAAGGGGGTACATTAAGGCCTTAAAATACTCAGAAGAGACCACCGTAGCTTTGACCTTCTCTGCATTCACAGTCACACAAGAGAAGGGAGATGCAAGTGACTGACCAGTAGTAATTGCAAACTCTTTTGCATTTTGAGTAATTTTTCTTGACAAGGCCACTCAGGGGCAGGAAAATTTCTGGTATAGTTTAATTAAGCACATTATATTGACCTTTTTTTTTAAACCAAATATAATTAAATTAATATTTAATAGATTTTAGTAGTTTGACAATCTGTCTTAAGCATTGTTTTTACTGATAACTTTCTGGATATTTCATTTCCTTGGCAGATGTCCTAGTAGATTATTTTATACTATATCATCTTTTGAACTCACAACAGTGGAGAAAATGATTTGTGATGGTGTTAATTAACATTAAGTTACTTTTAGACTACATATAGAATTGCTTAATACTTCTGATTGCTGTGAATCTGAATAAAGCTATAGACATAAAAAATCAGAGAGGTGTGCAGAAACTCAAATCACATAAAAATCACATATACACATACGGTCAGCTATTCCTTATTTATTAGGTTTTGAAATAGCTTATTTGGGGGCCCCCTGCCGCCTTTTCTGTCCTCATCCATCAGAACCAAGTATATCTCTGATTTCATCACCTTCCTCCTTAGAAACCTTCAGAGATTCCCTGTTGCTTTCCAAATAAAGCTTAGCTATCTTAATCTGGTGTTCGAGGACCTCCCCAAAAGTTCCTTTGAAGCTACCCTGCCTGAATTAAAAATAGATTACCGCCAGATGAATCTTATCTGGGAGTGCTGATTCTTCATGAATGGCTCAAAAATGAGGGAAAATGGAAACCTTCTTAGTGTTAGTTTTCTACCTGACTCTAGTATTTATGGTGATTTGCTGGGTTTTCCCTATACCTGCCACAGTTTATGGTGCTTCCCCCCTTAATTGTCCCCTCCCTCAGTTGTCTGCTGCTAAAGCTCTACTAGGTCGGTACTGGGCTTGTCTGTATATCTATCATCTAGCATTTTCTGAACACATTATAGGTACTTACTGAACATTGGTAGTCAAGTAAATGGCAGGATCCCAGAATGGATTCCTGAATAACATGACCATGAGCACTAAGGCCAAGCTCCTTCGTAGGAACCAGCAAGGTTTTCTGAGGACACAATGGGAACAGACCCTAGAAACTACCATAGGCTATACACACACTCATTATTATGTCACACCAGCTTCTACTCATCATTATTTAAAAAAAAATTATTAGATTGATAGACTTGGGAAAATTCCATTGCTATAGTTTTTACTGAGTATTTGACAATGACATCCCTTTATATAAGATGCAAGAATTCAGGCTGGATGACAGTTTAATTGGATGACTTCATGGCTCATTGATTAAACATACACCAGGTGTGTTATGAGTAGATTATTATCAACCTGAAAAATGTCTCTACTGGTGTTATAGTTGAAGACCATGCCCTGTTTGATTTTTTTCTTTCTTATCAAAATTCAAATGATTTGGAGATGGGAGCTTAGGGAAAAAAAAGCATCACTACATTAGACAGCAGTTGGAGTTAAGAGTGGGGAAGAAAGGGGCACCTGGGTGGTGCAATCAGTTAAGCATCTGGCTCTTGATTTCGGGTCAAGTCATGATCTCAGGGTCCTGGGATTGAGCCCTGCATTGGGCTCGGTGCCGGGCATGGAGTCTATTTAGGATTCTCTCTCTCCCTCTGCCCCCTGCCCCCAGCATGTGCACACTCTCTCTAAAAAAGAAAATTAGAGTGGGGAAGAAAATAACATTTATGGAACGCCTGTTATGCCAACCACGATACCAGGCACGTTATTCACGGTCTGTTTATTTAATAGTTCATTCTCTTAACAGTCATGTGACTGGATTTCATTGTTTCTCTTTCTCATCTGAAACAACTGAGGGTCAGGAATTAAATTACACGTCCAGGGAGAGAGAGCCAGTAGATGGTAGAGCCAAGTTTGAACACAGGTGGACCCAATTCCAAGTCTGTACTCCCCTGATCCTCCCAGGAGCTTCTGGGCAAAGGCATTTCAGGTTCACTCAGGAAATACATTGGCACCTTTGGTGACGTAAGGTTGGTTCATGCGAGGACATCATCGGCCCCAGGCTGAAACACTGGATTTGGTTCCAGTAGCACTCAAGCACGCTGCATGGTGGCTCCGGGGAGGACACATTTGCTGCCATCATCTGGCACTGTCAGCATTAGCATCCAGGTGCTGGAGTCCCCTTGGCCATGGCTCAAGAGCCAGGAACCCTGCTGCAAGCTCCCCAGAAGAGATCCTGGGGCCTACTTTCTCCCTCTGTCCCCTTGCGAATCATCACCTGCCATGGGTCCATCTGATAGGTGCAACTTGACCCCATTTCTGCACCCTACACCTAAGATGGATTATGGCAAGATGAGAAGGCCATAATATGTGGGAAAGTATCAACAGGAGAAGGTCCCAGACCATGCTGGGTAGCTGTGCTTTTGACAGGCGGGCCCCAAACTCAGCCCAGAGGGAGATTTATGTCTTTGCAAAAGTCCCGGTTTGTGGTGACCTCCCCACCTTGTCCTTTGGAATGTACTCAGGATGACACTCCTTTTTGTCCGGAAGAGTATGAAGAAGCTACCCTATTGACCACTGGTGGGGAGGCCCCTGTGTCCCTGGCTTAGGTTGCAGAAGACAGGCCAGGATGATGATGCCTTGGCCTTGCCGGGTCCTCCTTTATCCCTGGGTCACCTACCACCACTGAGCCCTGGCGGCATATGGCAACTTGCTGGGAGCTGGTTGGAAGCAGCCTGTAGGCTGAGCCTTCCTGCACAGGTGGGAGGCATCTGAACACATCTGCAGTGTCATTTGCATTGAGTGTCCCTCCCAGGTCCTCCCCTAGGAGGGTGGCATTTGGCAAAGTCTGTGTGCCTGAGAACTCTTGTCTCCCACGAATGGGAGTTAAAATATTTCTTTTTAGTTAAGAATTGCCCTTTGGAGGCATGAAAAGGACACATGAAACCATTTTTTTCTTGATTTCTTTGTGTGAATTATAGCAAAAATCTGCTAAAGTTGTCCCCATATAATGACAACGTGTGGCAGGCAGTGTGCAAATGGTGGTGTTTTTTTGTGCAGGGTGTTCTGAGAGAATTTCCTTGCTGGAGGAGTTTCTTTGTTCTTGTCCATTACCCTGCTCTTTTATGCCAAGACTAAAAATTAACTCACTCCTTGTTTAGAATTATCACTTAAGCTATAGTTAATCGGAGAAGAGGAGAAAGACCTTCAAAAGTGGAAGGACAAAGCAATTATTATGCTACCAAAATGGAGCCAGGTCTATTTATTGCCTTCCAAGGCCAGGGAAATTAGCCACCACAGCATGGTGCACAGAACCAGAAGTCTTGAACCCTCTGGATGATTATTCCTGACCCTTCATTGTGTGACCTTGTGCAAGCCACTTTATTCTTGATAGGAGATTATAAAATTTATTTATAAAATGAGGACGATACTACTCAATTCCATTTACCTCCCTGTGTCAGCAGGGATCCCAACAAGGTCTTTGGGACTGGAGGAGAGCACAGTGGGGAGCAGCATGGTCTGGTGGTTAGGGACATGGGCTTTGCAGTTAGTCTCATGGCTGTGTGACCATAGGGATGCTACTTCCCCTCTCTGAACCCCAGTCTCCTAGTAACTGGGGATAATCATAATGCATCCTCGTTGGGTTGTTGTGGGGAAAAAATGCAATGACGTGTGGTATCTAAAACAGTGAGCTAGTTCCCAGCATATAATACAAATTCAAAAGGAATAGCCCTTACTATAATTACAGTCAGCATTTGAGAAGTAGATACACTGAAATGGGAATCACTGGATTTTAGACCCGGATGGGTCCATGCAGACCAAGCACTCTGAAATCTCATTTCTTTTAGTTAAGGAAACCAAGGCTGGATCCTTGCCTACAGGGCAGAGCTGGGCCAGAGAGCCCAGACTCTTTTTTGCTTATTTCTACCTCCACTGCCTCCGAAAGAAAACCAGTGCCAGGGACCTGTCACCGAGAAGGTGGGGCTTGAGGTTAGCCCTGGAGGGGATAGCGGCCTTGCGAGGGCGAGGGGGCCGTGGGTGGGGGGAGCACCATAGAGCTCCGAGGAGCTTGAGGAGCACTTGAGAGCTGCAAGGTGCGGTGAGGATCAGTGTGGTTGTTGCACGTGGGGTGTGCATCCCCAAGTGCTCCTACCTTTGTCTCGGTCACTTAGGGTACTCACCTTTCCCTGCGTTTGGCTCTGTTCAGGCCTGCACCCCGGGGGCAGCTCTGAAGACAGTTGCTGCTTCTCTCGCAGTCCCCTCATTGGCTGGGGTGCTGCTAACTCCTCCTCACCCCCTGCTGGTCCTCACAGGGCTGTGTGTGCGTGGGGAAGTCGGGTGCAACCCTGGGGGGTGGGGAGGGCTTGCCAGTGGGAGGCTTGTGGCTCAGGCCGGGCAGGGCTGGAAAGGGCTGAACATTTGAAGGTACTTAGAGCCAAATACCCCCGGACAAAGCTGCCTAGAAATGCTGGCTTCTAGGCGCCTGCTTCAGGAGGTTTGGCGTGGGGCCTGGGATCCTGGCCGCTTCAAAAGCTCCTCAGGTGGTCTGCTGTTTGGTCAGAAACCTACAGCCTAGGTTCTCAGTGTTGGAGCATACTGCACCCACCTGAGGAACTTTAACAACTTCCCTTCCCGCTCAGCTTCAGACCAATGAAATCAGAACTTGGGGGTGGGCCCACACGGTGCTGCTTTTTAAAGCCCTCCAGGGCAGCCTGGGAAGACCGTTCCTGAAAATGCTGCCGGAAGTTGTGCAAGGGACCGTGAACTCCCGCGCTGAGAGGACGGTGCAATGGGCCGGCTCTAAGTCCCCTCCAGTGCAGGTGAGGAAGCTGGTCTGCAGGGGCCTTTGTGCCCCCAGCCTTCCAGCTTTGCAGTCGATGTG